AATGTCGTTGGGCAGTGGCTTGTTAGCGTAAGGTGATCCATGGGTGAGTCAGCCTAGGCTAACCTTGGTAGGGGTGATCAAGCATAGCCAAAAATACGAGCCAGCAATTGAAAACGACCAAATCAAAGTTGTCATCTAGTTTAAGGGGGTCCATGATCGGTGGTCAATTTCAAATATTCAAAATTGACCAATCGATCAGTCAATTCCCTTGAGTTTCCTTTTTCACCATTCTTTAGCTCTTCTTCGTGTCGCACTCTGTTTCTTACTCTCTCTTGCTAGCATCTTTCTCTGGAATATTCTAGCTCTCACTCTATCTCTCATCTTTCAAATTCTAAATATTAGAAGCTCGCTGTTCACTAGTTTTTAACCTCTCTCTTCCTAATAACTCTTTTAACCTAATTTGGATTTTAGATGTGTTTTTTTTCTAAAATATTTTTTTGTCTCCACATCCTCTCAGGTTCCAAACATGATGATCTTCACCAAGGTGAGATATATTAATAAATATATGAAAAAATTGTTCACATTTTTGTTTGCTTCTCTCTCCTTTATCCCACGTCCCTCATCCCCCTCTTTTCTCTAGCCTTCACTTCTCTTATTTCTCTTCTCCATTACTCCCTTCTCTATCCACTTTTCTTTCTAAGGTGTTTGGTTTATTGGTTTTGAAATGGATGGTAGAGTTAGCTAAGCTAAATCCATGTTTGTTTGACAGTTTAATAAACTCATATTTACTACAGTAAATGTTGGGATTTATGCCCTAAGCTAGTGAATATTTGGTAAAATATTTAAATATAAATAAAATAAGCTTGATAAATGGATGTGCATTATTGTCAAGCAAATTACCATTTAATGCTTAATCGCTTATAAGCTATCAGACATGTTCATAAAATTGGTATGTAATGGACATAAGGGAGGATCAAGTTCAAGATTAGTAGCTCAAATAGTCTACAGTATATGTGATACGCGACAATCCAAGCGTATTTAGCTACTCGAGCCACAAGCCACAAGCCACTTGAATCCAATCGTATAGTTGGTTCAACCCAAAAGGCCAAGGTTAGAGGGATTACCTTTGCAGTCGTTACCTTGAGCAGACAGATGACTCACAATGCTCGAGGTCGGAAACACTCCACGAGTTTGATGACCAATCAAACAAGCATGCTCCGAGGGGTTCAAATACGAAGGCCTAAGTTCAACCACACAAAGGGATTCGAAATTTGAGGGGGGTTTGCACAAGGCAATGAGAGAAAACACTCAACTCTATTTATTCAATTCGAAAATTCTAAGGTGTGTTACAATGAAAGGTACAAGCCTATTTATAAGCCAAGGCCATTGGCCTTTTAAGGAAAATAACAAAATTAAAAGAAAATTAAAATTGATAAATTCTTAAAATGCCTAAAACTTGCCTAAAGATGAAATTTAAATTTGATAAATAAAACAATAAATCAAATGTAAATCCTAAATCAAATCTCCCAAGAATAAACCAAAATCATAAGGAAATACATTCCTTATTTGGGAGGAGTGGGCGGCAAGGCATGGTTGGCGCACGC